CATGCTTTTTAATTTAAGATTTTTATTTGTCAAAAGAATTATATGAATATTGGGTTATTTTGTAAATTAATATTTCTTTGGGGATGATGCTGCGAGCAGCATAGCGAGAATTATTTAAAAAGCCGTGGTAGGGAAGGACAGCTGTCTTTGCAGGGGAAGAGGGAGGGGGTCCCTGTTTTTAGACGCGAATACTGCAACACTGTCTCAGAGGTTTCCTTGTGTTCTGGTGAATTCCATGAATTGTGCATTCCATAAATTCTAATTAATATTATTTATCGTTATTTAAGCCTAGTCTCTGTATAGATTTCTTTTGGTGGCAGCATAAGAAATCTGTGTTTCGTTCCACGCTTGCCATAGCTCGTTTGGGGGCGTGAATGTTCTCGCTCGCCGCTCATAGGCTCACTCAGCCATTGCCATGTGTATTGATGCCCCCGTGCTTGATATTCTGCTAGAAATAAATGGAAAGAGGCACCTTTGCAAGGGACTAATTCCAACTCGATTTTTTTGATCAACTCCAAAGCCCCTTGCCCTAAGGAAATGTGATTTTTTTTTTTTAACCCAAGGAGAGAGCTGACTGTAGCTTTATTTTTTTCATCAGAATTAGTCGTCTGATAGAATAGGCTTTTCTAAAGAAATTTTTAACTGGCAGTGCCAGTTGTGATGAAAGCAAAGTGGCTGTTGCTTTATGGTCTACAAGTATTTATTGAGCAACTACTATGTGCTGGGCCTTATTCTAGGCCCTGTAAATAGAGCATTGAACAAAACCAATAGTCTCAGCCCTCAAGGAATTTTACATGGACACAGAGTAACAGGAGGTCTGGACTGTTCGTAAGCAGATCCATGACCCCTATAAATTTGCATTTTGCGATGGCCCAAATTTGAAAACCGCAGGCTTGGAGCAGGCCACTGAACTTGGTGAGTAATCCAAGCCCAATGCCCAACACACAATTTATTGGTAGTGTCTGTCTTTAAAGCCCCGAGCAGATTTCCCAGGCACAGCATGGAAGGGTGCTGTGATTGATTAGTGATGTCTGCTTTGGGTGAGGGAAGGGGAACTTTGGCTGCATCCAGTGCCTCCGCCTGTCATCTCCAGCCCAGCAGCCTCGTCTCCATTAGAGTTGTTTTCTACTCTCGCCACATATCACTGTGGCAGGATCCCGACACTCGGGCATTTGCAATGGTCTGGAGCTCCCACCCCTCACAAAGGTCAGGGTGGACTCTTGGAACACACGTGCACATGGGTACCTGCTCTCAAGTCCTCCCAAGGTTCAGAGGCCATCAGCACCTTGCAGTCGCCACACGTGAGCAGCAAGGACAGCCTCCCAGGACGGGTTCGTGCCCCTCTCGGGAAGGCTGGAAGCGTTCACTCCGTTTGCTAATGACACCTGCACGCGCTCCCCTTTGCAGCCGCGCCCCACGCCTCGGCTGAAGTGTGAGCCACATCTCTCTTACAGCTCGTGACTGAGTTGGTAGCAGATACTGTATATAATAATAATAATAGTTCTAATAATAGGGGAGGGGTGGGATGGGTTGTGGGTAAGTTTTGCTTTTGGTTTTGTTTTTTTGAAGCAGTATATAGCCAAGGGGTGAGAAGAATATTCTAAAACAGACAAACAAAAAGAATAATTTATTCACAGAAGCTATTAAAATTGTATGGTAAAGCTCAGAGCCAGCTCAGTGGGCAGCAGCTGCCACATCTCACCGAGAAAATTATTTTATTGAATGTGAGTGAGGTGTGCACTGGAGAAGGTGGCCGGAGCTATTTATAAATGCTGTGGTACCTCCTTCCAAGTTCTCTCCCCTTGTGAAGGGCACAGCAACTCTACCCTTGATAGAGAGAGATTTATGCAACATGTTTCACCAAGTAGAGTGACAGTCTTCGGCTGTCCTTGGAACTGGGAGTCTGGACCCTATTTCCAGGCAGAGGAAACTGTCCTCAGAAATAGGGCTTCTGCTGATAAAACAGGTTGTCCAACATTTTTAAATATGTGCTCTACAGAACACAGGTTCCGAGGGATGTCAAGTTCGTGTGATGCAGAATAACAGTTTTGTGGTCACATATCCTTGGCAAACGAAGTTAAGTCAGTTTCCTTTCTGCAGGACTTTTCAGAGCCTTGAATGTGTGCTGTGCATTCTGAATTCCCAAGAGCATGATGGAGTCAGTAGCATTTCCTGAACTTACATGACCAAAATACAGATCATCTCACAGAGCTAGTGTTCTGCCAAGTATACTTTGGTTAGGTTGATTTAGCCCATCTGAGATCTTCAAGGAAAAAATCTGCCTCTCTTACCCCCCTCCAAACACCAAAACCAAAACAAAGCAAAAAAAACATACAACAGCACCACTGATTCCAAGCAACAGAGGTACTTTATCAAATGAATTCAACTTTCACTTACGTGCAATGGTTCTAATCCTGGATTCGACCACGATTCCATCCCTCCCAAGCAGAGTGGAGGAAAGCCTCGGGTGGTGTGGACAGAAGGGAGGAAGGGGCATAAGGCCACAGTGGTCCCCCTGCGCCTCAAGCCTTAGGTTGCTCGGTGCAAGCAGAGTGAGCGCAACCCTTGACGAGTGCTTCTTCAGTTCCATAGGTTGGAGTTGTTCGCTGTGTGCTTTTTGGTTTTTAAATGGAAAGTCACTTCGATTTCCTGAGTTTTGTATTTCCGTGTCTGTCTTTGATCTGCTATGCGAGCAAGCTCAGTGCTGTGTGCAGGTCGCCTTCTTTCAGCCGTTTTCTCTCTCTAAAATGAGAAAGGTTGTCCCTCGGGGCGGGACGCGTCAGTGTGGTTCTGCAAGGAGGGACTCCCTCTCCTCATGTTTTTTGTATTCATAGTTTATTTTCTAATGGTATGAAAATTTTTTTAATTGATTCAGCTATTTTGCAGAATGTACTAAGTATTCTGTGTCCTTGGTTAAAAAGAATTCATGGGTGAAAATGTGCCTGGAAAACAAAAGTTTGCATGTTTGTTTGTTAAGAAAACTGTTTCAAAATGCTATCGCATGCTTAGTTGGAGAAAAGTACAGGCCGGCGTCCCACCACCTTTCAAGGGTGCTGCCGTGTTTTCAGAGCCAGGTACTGTCCAGGTAGTACTTACAAGGACATTCCTGCTTGCCTTACCCCTTTGGTTGGAAAACTAGAGACTTGGACTCCCTGCAGCTTTTTAGAGCCCCCCTCTGCCTCCCCAGCTGGCCTGGGAGGAAGGGCAGCCTGCTGACCTGTGGTGTCCCCGAGGGGCCCTTTCTCCCTCTCTGTCCACCAGGTGAGTTGCACTGTCCTGCTTGCTCAGGGTCGGGATGCCACAGGAGGGCAGTAGGTAGCGGAAACTTCACTCCTACCAGTCCTGGTGGCAAAGCCCTGGAAGCACAAGGGTCTGAATCCTTCTCGTAGAAAGTTCTGTAACAAAAGCCAGTCCCTAGCCGCCGTAGCTGCTGGGGTCTGCACCAGTGTGAGGCAGTGATTGCAAAAGTCCCTGTTCTAACCTGGCAAGAAGCCGACGGACTCTGTGCCTGGTGGGTGATGCTAAGAGCACATATCTCAGCCCAGTCCTATCCCCCACCCCCTCCCCGCACACACATGCAATCAAAGCTGGCCCTTTCCTGTGCAATCCTGGAGAGCAGCATCCTTTCCTCGCCTGCTCCTGTGTCAGCAGGACTGACCTTATTGCTCCCCCAAGTTCCTACAACCAGCATTTCCTCCAGCCGTTTCCCATCACACCCAACTGGACCCTGTGAACAGGCCACAGGACCTTCTACGACCAGCTGGACTGTTGGCCGTTAACAGGCTCATTCCAGCCTGCTGCTCTTTGTCCGGTACACAAGGGCCTGCCTGTACTATTTTCTTATGAGCATGCTCAGTATGGCATATGGACATATAATTTGACATCTCTGTGGAGTGTGATTTTGTTTTTTACGTATTTGTATGCAGTAGAGGGCTGGTTCTAGAAAACTCTCCCTGTATCTTACTGTACTGTTCGAGAAAGCTGAATTCCACATTGCCAACGAAAGCGTGAAATGTTCATGAACCTTCTTCCTCCAGGAAAAGCCATTCAAGCCTGATTATTTTTCTAAGTAACTTCAATTAAATTGAAGGAAAAAAGAAGCTTCTCTCTGCGTATGGTTTGTTCATGGCTCACTGACGGAAGACAGTAGGGGTGGGGTGGGCTGTGTTCCTTAGCACGCGGGGGGTCCTGCTGGTGTGCATCAGAATGGAGAGAGACGGAGATGCAGACCCATCAGTGCCTTGGCCGTGACAAAGGCCACCAGCAACCTGAACCCTTCGTTTAGTGGACGAATGCAAGCTCTCTTCACCCTGTTTTGTCTATAAACTCTTTGTAAAGTATCTGATAGAAGACCCTCCATGAGCATGTAGTCCTACCAGCCACGTGGAAAGGAAGGAAACAGCCCGGCTGGTGTGTCTCAGCTGGTTCAACATCGTTCCGTGCACCAGGAGGTCGCCGGTTCGATCCCCGGGCAGGGCACATGCCCAGGTTG